ACCAGCAGATCCAATATGTACCAACTTTTACTCTCGTTTTCCCTACGACACTCCGTGTGCTCCATTCTTGTAGGATAAAATAAAGAACAACGTCTACTAGACGAAACACCACCTTGAACTAAAATTGAATATTATGGAAGTATTTCTTCATTATTCTAATAAAATGCTACTTCCATTTTCCATGCGAGAAGTTCCGATTATTGCACTTTTTTTTAAATCCTGGAGAAAGACTTTCGTAGTTCCGTAGTTGTCTTTTAGTTAACCAACAGAGACTTAACCCGTAAGCGATGTTCTTTATTTACTCCTAACAAGAAATCATGCTGGCGATTTTTGTCGGGAAAACGAGTATGTTGGCCAACCTTGTTCAGTGTTGTCATCTGCAAGTAAAATATTTTAATTTTAAACCGCCATATCTATTTATATGAACTAACTCGGCAACAATTACGACTGAGACTAAGCTTTGACACACAAGTAAAACGTCGTATGTTGAAAAACAACAGTTTGGCTTAGGTATGAAATTGTATGGACACTCAGTATTTTCCTGTATTTTATATTGTATTAGAATTATTAATTTAGTTTAATCATAGGAAACTGATTCAACAAATCTTTTATTTTTCATTCATTAATGTATTAAAAATATTAGGCCTACATCTTTTCCAGCAGGCTATGTAGAAGCTGTAATTAAACTGTTGTGGTAGCTTTTAAGTACCGCCTAATCTCAACACTTGCTAAGTAGCTCGAATTTATAAACAAAAAGCTACCAAATTTATATAAATAAGTATAACCTACATTGTAATTAATTGTCCTACTGTTTACATGAACATATATCAATAACATTATTTACAGCATTTTATTTCTGGTTCAATGATTACATTATTCACAGAAGTGTTAACAAAATAAACAAGAAATTAACAATAATAACATCGTGTTTACATTAAAATGTCAACGCAAAGGTAAACTTTGTGAATTTTCTCATGCTTCCATACTTTTGAAAATCTCACCTCAAAACTTTGAACATCCAAGAGGCGTAGCGATAATAAAATACTATATACGATTTTTAAGGTCAGTTGCATAAAATATTTTTATTTTAGCTGGTTAGTATTGTAGGTTGTAGCTATTGGGGCTTTTACCTCGTAACAAATCTTTGTTTGTTTACGTCGACAAAAGCCAAAAAAGATAGTAAACATTACTTTAGCATAGTAGCTTTAGCCATAGTAAACAATTTGATGATGCATTTTTGGTGATAAACATGTAACGAAAACAGGTTATTTCACAGTAGTGTAGCGAAAATGTACATTTTGATATTCTTGACTTCAATTGATTCATTTTTTGAAGTTCAAAATAACTACATTAAGCTGTATTTACATAAATCAGCTAGTTTTGCTTTAGAGAGACGAATATTAAATTTTGTCAATTCAGCCGACTTTGTTGTCGTCATTTGATGTCCAGCATCATGTCACTCCCCAGAACAGGTAGTGTCTGGGTAGCCGAGGGGTTACAGTGCTCGCCTTCAAATCTTAAGGTTGCTGGTTCGATTCCAAGTAAGTCCGTTAACAAACCCATATGCAATTTGTCGTTGGACTGCCAAATAATGATTTTAAAAAAGACCCCTATGTTTAGTAGTTAAAAGACCTGGGTTTGGACCATTTCCTTAAAAAAAAAACTTGCCCCTGGTGTAAATAAACACCACAATAAACCGTGTGAAAAAACAGTTTTGTAAAACCACTATAACATTTTCTAATTGGAAACATATTATTAGCAGAAGACTATCTAGTAACTTCCCTTGAACGTCGTCTTCAATAAAATTCAAATGCGTCAACACTTTTTGCCGGTCTGGCGCATAAACACCTGGCAAAACAGAACAGCGGTTTCTGCACCGGTAACGAATCAGATTTGATTCAAAACGTAGTCTTGCGCATGCGCGGCAACGGAAGGTATAGGCAGGTGGGTCTCCCTAGGCCATCAACATAAGAAAGACTTCTTTTCTTCTCTTGCGCCTTTGTAGATCACCCATCTGCTGCTAGGGTCGTTTGAATTGGAAGGATAATTTTTTGGCGGGCAGGTGGCACGCGCGGGCACCCCTTCTCCCCAAAATCGTAAATCGGGACTAAGAAGCTCCAGCGGGGACCCGAGACACGCGTCTTAGCCGTAAACGCAAGAGGTCGTTAAAGACTCAATGGTCGGTTGATTGGGGTTTGGGACAATTCGAGAGGACTCCTGCAGGGAAACTCTTCAGGGAGTGACATCAGTGATTCGAGGGAGAGATGGATGTGCAGAAGTCAAACAATTGGATTTTCAAGTACTTAGACGCTTCAGGAACTGAATTCTAAAATGAGTCGGAAAGCGGGTAGCTGAGTGGTTATAGTGCCTACCCGACAAAATCCTGAGAAAAGTTGGTGGTTGATCATTGTCCCAGCTATCCTTGATCATCGGGCTACCATATAGTCGAGCTAAAGAAGCAGCTGGTCATTGTCAGGAACCCTACACAAGGTATTTCGCTGATTCTTCACCCCCACCCCTTCACTTAAAATCAGGTCACTCTCATCTCAATAAATTTATGGATGGAATAGTGTCAGATTTCGTTCAGTTTCACATTGAAACTGAAAGTAAACATTGAAAGCTAGCTTAAAACTATTACATTTGAGAAATAACTGAAGTTGTAAAAGTTTCTCTATATTAAACAGTAATCTTTAAGGGTGAATTTTCCAGTTAAGCTATCAATAGTGACGCTGTGTATAAAATCTGTGGTTTTGTACCCCTAGAATTAGAGAATGGAATCATAAAAATAAATTTAAACTGAGCAAAACGAGCACGAACATATAAACTTCTTTAACATTTATTACCAGTGCTAAAACATTTTACGTAACCCACAAACGAGCCCCAGACCCGGCGCCCTCAATTTGGCAGACATCGCGAATGTGAAGGGCAAAAAGCCGCTATACTTTCTCCCGGACAGCACCGCCGAGACCACCTTAGCGATCTTGGCTTGGAATGTCTGCAGCCCTGCAACTCGCTAGGGAACATCTCGGAAATCAGCTGGAGTGAAGCTTCTGATGAAGAAATGTCAGGTTTATCATGTACAACTTTCTACAGCAAAGATCTTGAGCTGTGGAAAGCTTTAAAGGTTTCTTATGGAGTGGGGCTTCTGACAATGAAATATTAAGTATCATGTACAACTTTCTACAGCAAAAGATCTCAAAGCTGTCGAAAGCTATAAGGTTTCAGTTGGAGTGGAGCGACCTGAAAAAGTATTAGGTATATCATAATGTGAATGCGCTGTTGTATTTCGTTTCGGCTACAGCCATAGAGACTTTTAGCTTTGACTGTGAATGTAACTAGTCATTCCAACCAATACAAATGGTAAGGGTACAAATGGTAGTGGGGTGTACTTGTGTTAATTTGGCTCCATCGTCATGGTCGGCTGCTTAATGAATTTTTCTCACAAAATAATTAAGATTCTGGTTGATTGTGTCCTACCTTTGCACTTATAAGAAACATCTAGAAAATATCAAGATTGTTAAGCCTTCATGGTATGCTTCCACGTAATTCAGTTCCTATTAAATTCTTCGTTCACATGTTTGTTGATGATCTCCAAGAAATTTCATTTATCTTTTAGCAGTCCTAAGAAGAATCCGTAAGAAAAGTATTAAAACACAGTAAACTTAGATTATGATGGTGTAAAAATAGCTTAATTTATTTAATACAGTTTTATTCACATTTTACTTGATTACAACAATATTTTCAGACCATGGTTTTCAAACATTTTCATTCGACTTTTTTATCCCAAAAATCGGAAAAACTTACAATTAATTGGTCAGATAGCTTTGATGAAACATCTCCATAAATTTAAGTTAAAACAATAATTTTGAATTTTATAAGGTTCATCTTAGAAGAACTTTGAGTTTGTGAAGCTCTCCGAAAGCAAATGAAGTGTATGCAAGGGGATCGTTGGAATTAAAGTAAGTAAGCTTGTACCACTCCTAAATCATCTCCCCAATTATATTTCAACATAAACTGCGTTGATATAAAATATGGAGTCATTTCCCCTACATGCTAGATACCATGCTAGATACAGCTGGTATGGTGTAGACTGATAATGCATACACAACCTGAAGTAGCCCTTTAATGTGCTACTACGGGGATACATTTAATTTACTTTTCATACGTTAACTCCTGGCATCCATTGCCATTGCATAACGCCCCTAGCTGAGAAAATATCAATTCTCTCCAACGTAAGGGATAGTTTATCAACGTCAGGGATAGTTTATTGGAAAAAGACAAAGCCTTAAATTCATGGAACACGTATGTAAAACATACAGCTCTCCTTTAAGGAATAGACTTCGTATTATAACTTTAGCATCGTTGAAGTTGGATGTTTCCTGGAAGGTCAAGTGGAGTTAACTTTACAACAAGCGTTTGAAATGATAAGTGGTAGAAACACAAGTACAATCAAACAGAGACTGGTCTTGGGGTTGGGCGTATAGCAAATTTGGGGCTAAAACTTTAAACAAAATTAGTAATATTATGATGAACACTCCTAAATGGGTTAGCTCGACTCTAATTCCCAGATATAGCAGTACCATTGACTATATACAATTTGTTATGACATATAGTCAATGCCAGTACCAACTCTAAAACTTGGATTGGAGAAAAGGCATTGGCTTCTTAACGGAAGGAACGACATTTGTTCAAATCGTTTAGTTTTTCATTCGATTTTAAATAATTGGTAGGCCTACATACCACTTACCGGTGTTTGTGGTAATTTCTTCCATTCTCGCTGTGCTCAAGATGATCTGGTTGGTGCTAAGACGCGATCTCTACGAGACTGGAAATGCAAAAAGTGTCGTCCTTCACTATCAGCTACATCGGAGGTTAGTGCGGATGGCACGAAAGAGCTGTTACAAGCACTGGAAGATTTCAAACAAAAGGTCTTCATGGAGTTGAAATCTACTAGAAACGATATAAGTGAACTTAAGGAATCTTTAAATTTTGTATCAAACATGATGGATGATTCAAACAAACTAATGACGGAAATAAAAGGAGAACTAGCTACATTGAAGAAGGAAAATGATGATCTCCGCAAAGAAAATGCAACCCTTACTGTGGAAGTGACCTCTTTGAAAGACAGAGTCCGCTCACTGGAACAATATTCCAGGAAAAACAACGTTGAGATAAGCGGGATCCCTCAAACTCCAAATGAAGATGTGGTTAAGTTGGTAAAAGATGTTGGAGCTGCTCTGGGAATCGACATCCAGGAAGGTGACATATCGATTGCACACCGTGTTCCATCCTTCAAAAAAGAACGCACGCAGCCACTTATCGTCCAGTTCTCCAGGAGGACATCTCGTGAAACCTTGCTGAAAAGTTTTAGGGAGAAGAAGACGATGACAGCCAAAGAAATCCATGCAGCCTTCCCAGCCCGGAGCGTCTACGTCAACGAACACCTTTCTCCAGAAAATAAACAATTTCTGTCAAAGCTTAAAGAAAAGTGTAAAGAAGTCGGATACAAGTATGCGTGGTGCAGAGAAGGTAAATTCTTCGTACGGAAGTGTGACAATGATCGCTGCCTCAGAGTGGACACCTACGAGGAACTTGAGAAACTTAAATAACATGTAAGTCAACATGAGTCAACCTACACTATTTTTTGTCCAATAAAAAAAATATATATAATGTTTGTTATCTCTTTATTGTTATTATGTTTATATATTCTATGAAATGTTTATTTTTATCTCAGGTTCTATTTACTTCTCTGTCATCAAGGAGTGTGACAGTTGTTTATCTTTATAAAACCGTACATATAAACAATTTATTTTTAGAGTTAAAAATGCATACTGTTTAAATGAATCATCACATACTGAAACACAATTCTCAATCTGAAATACAGGATTTCTTTTTGCCTGGGAACGCTACAAAAGAATTTAATTTAATATATACTAATATAAGGAGCTTGAGAAAAAATTTCAATAGCTTCATTGCTGAAATAAGTAGTATAAAACACAAAGTACATTTCATTGTCCTTAGTGAAATTTGGATTGACAGTAATGAAGCAAATTTATATAGCATACCAGGATATAACCTTTTTACCTCATGCAACGATGAATACAGAGCTGGAGGTGTTTTGTGTTTTGTTGACAAATCAATAGAAAGTAAGGATGTAAAGTTGTCTTTTAACCCAAGATCAGCTGATATCTTATTGCTGGATATAAAAATGAACCAAGTGTATTTTAAGCTAGTATGCCTGTACAGATTACAAAAAATTCCAGAAAACTCATTTTTAATAGATTTATCTCAGCTGATGTTAGAAATAAAAAATAATGCAATATATATTGGTGACATAAATATTAATCTTTTGGAGGAAAGTGCTATATCTGAAAGCTACAATAGTGTCCTAAACAATAATGGGTTTATATCCATAGTTAACTCTCCTACTAGAATTACTCACTTTACAAAAACATTAATAGACCACATGTTTGTAAGAAATAGATATATGCAACAGTTTTCCAGTGGAGTATTCGATTTAGGTATCACTGACCATTGTGTTCTAGGTCTTAAATTTAGATATTTGTCCAATACAAAAACTGTTAACACATGTGATGATAACATAAACCTTAAGAAACAAATACTTGATTTTGATCTTGTAAAAACTAAGCTTAAGAATACTAACTGGGAAGATATTTATTCTGAATTAGATGTAAACAATTGTTTTAGTATTTTTTATGAAAAATTAATGAACGTTGTTAATACTAGTAAAAAAACTGTTCATGTTGACTCTAAACTGAGGAAAGCAAAGTTATCGAGTCCTTGGATTACAAAAAACATTTTTAATCGAATAAAAAGGAGAAGAAAGCTTTATATACTTTCCAAAAAAAGACCATATGACACTGCTTTCAACACCTATTTCAAAAGATTTACAGACAATTTAAAAGTTGACATTGACACAGCAAAAAACTTATATTATTCAAATAAACTTCAAGAATGTAATGGTAATATTGCCCAACAATGGAAAATCATTAATAACTTGACTGGAAATGTAAAAGATAAGAACATTGATAGGATTGAGCTAAACGATGGGACACTGATAACAGAGCCTGGCCTTATCGCCCAGGAAATAAACAACCACCTTGTCTCAATACAGGCTGGACAACCAATCACTTTCCCTGCAGCAATTCTACCTCCTATGTACATCTGTCCACAAACGTTTTTTATAGCACCAACTACAGTGCAGGAAATAAAGTCAGTTGTTAGTAATTTAAAGAACAAAAAATCTACTGGCTTTGATGGCATCAGTGTTAGTTTACTTAAACATATAATTGACGAAATATCTCTTGTTTTAGAATACATATTTAATATGAGTTTCAACAAAGGTATTTTTCCAGAGACACTCAAATTAAGTTTAGTTGTACCCATTTTGAAAAAAAATAATTCTTTTAATTTAGAAAATCTCAGACCCATTAGCTTACTTTCAGTTTTTTCTAAAATACTCGAGAAGCTCATGATGATTAGAATTGAAATTTTTTTAAATAAAACACATTTTTTCAGTAATAAGCAGTTTGGTTTTATTAAAGGCAGGTCAACAGAAAGTGCTTTATTGGCAGTAACCGATCACATCTTCCAAGGATTAAACTCAAAACTGAAAACAACAGGTCTATTTATTGATTTTAAAAAAGCTTTTGACATGGTAAATCACAACATTCTTTTAAATAAATTGCAAAACGTAGGAATAAGAGGTACAGCTTTTGAGTGGTTTAAGAGTTTCATCACAAATAGGAGGCAACAAGTAAAAATAAACAATGACTACAGTAATCCTCTCATTGTACAAACGGGTGTGCCCCAAGGGTCAACGACCTCAGGTATTTTATTTTTAGTGTTCATCAACGATTTATTAAATCTACCTTTTAACGGAAATATCTTTGCTTTTGCTGATGACATTGCTCTTTTTTACACACAAAACGATTTGATGTTGATGGAAAATTTAATAAACGATGATCTTTTACTTTTAAGAAATTGGTGTTTGATCAATAGAATGCAGGTAAATGTAAACAAAACCAAATTTGTTAATTTCCACTCAACCGGTTTTGAATTGCCATCTCCTTTAATTTTTCACTCCTCAAATTGCAGTCCACAACTATGTAATTGCCAGCCGTTAGAAAAAGTAAAATCTATAAAATATTTAGGAGTTCTACTCGATGAAAAAGTCACCTTCGAACCTCATATATTAAATCTACATGCTAAGATACGAACACAAATAAGAAAATTTTATTTTTTAAGAAATTTTTGTAACGAATCACTTTTGAGAACATTATACTTTGCACTAATCAACTCAAGATTGCAATATGCCTTGCCATGCTGGGGAGGAACTTATAAAACCTTGATAAATAGATTAAGAACAACACAAAACTTTTTTATGCGGATAATTTTGAAACAACCTAAAAGAACAAGTTCATTTCCACTCTACCAACAGTTAAAAATTTTGCCCATACAGCACCTTTTTGTTTTCAAAGTTCTTAGACTGTTTTTTGTTCGAAGTGGAAACAGAGTTAACGTCATACCAAATATTACACACACATACATAACAAGAAGCATTACCAATAATACTCTGAAACTACCCAAAGTAAATAAAGCTATTTTTCGTCACTCTTTTCAATATCTAGGTCCAAAATACTATAATTATCTACCACTTCAAATAAAGAATAGTTTAAATTTAAAGCATTTTAGCAAAGCAACGATAATTTGGCTTTCTTCTCAGCAGGACATAAATTATATCAATAATATCCTGTTGTAATAACTTTCATTCTTTATTAAAACAGTTCTTGTTTTTGTCCATCAGATGCACAGTTCAGGCGGAATTCAATGTTTTATAACAGATGCTAGACCATAAATTACAACGTCATGTTAGCCGATAAGTTAGTTTAAGCAAACTGGTTACACTACTGGATCAAGTAGCCAGTTCTATTTCTCTACATCTCATGTATTGTTATATTGTGGTTTTTTTGTGGGAAATAAACTTCATTATTCATTATTCATTATTCATTCACTTGACCATGACATTTAAAATTACGTATGATCGGTAACTATTAACCGCTGACTTAATATACTTATAATATACAACTATAACTAGTTCATTACGCTATAGAAGCTCTTGAATAATCCCATTATAAAATTATGCAACTGTATCAATAACTTATCTTGGGCCTCTGATTAACGAAAATAAAATTGATCAGAGCAAACTCTCTATAACTCTTTGCTGTGAAAATTTAAAATGATAAATCAGTTTAACTGTATTGTTTTGTAAATTTTGGCTTTGATTTTAAATTATTTGTTTGTTTTTATCTTAAACGTGAACTGCTTGAAAACCCCATTATTTTGTATGTATTAGTTGTTGCTTGCATAAATGAAAAATACATTGATTGAATACCTTTCAGAGAGTGTGTTAAAAATGTTTATGGTGAAATAAAAAATTAAAAGTCAGTTTTGTAAGATTTAGTCACGATCGGATTTTACGATTTCAATCAGCAGGCCACAAAACAAGGCCAAGATGATAACAGAAAAAGTATTCTTTCATTTAATATGTTCAAAATCAATATTTTTTTTAACTTTGGACTGATATGTAAAATTAATAGAAAATAAACAAAACCTAATAAAAAAACTGACTTGCACACAATGTTTCAATGAATCAACATTGAATGTTTAAAGCCTTTAAGAATGGTTAATAAGTTTTTGCATAAGACATTAACTAGAAATTTTTAACTGGTCAATAATCGTTTCTTCATAATATTGCCAAACGGCTAAATCATTTTCTGGTAACTGGATAATAAGAGAGGATTAATCATGGAAGTGTAGTCATGTAAATTCATATTTATTTATATCCCACGGTTAAACCATTTTGTAAAAACACTGACCACAATCTTAACATGGGGTGGATATGTTTGCTTCACGATCGTTTTATATTGATTTATTGGCGTGGTCGTCAGTTACATCCATGTTTTCTACACACATTTTCACAAGTCCTTAGTGGCGAGCCGTAGCATTGTCGTATAGGCAATTTAGATACTGCTTGCACTTTGCGTTGTATTAAATGCAGGAGACCTTACTAGGTCTGTTTTTTTTTTCAAGTTTTCCATTATTTTTGCGTAACCTGTAAAAAAACATTATAATGTGCTTTTACTGTGTATAAAAAAACAAGTTTTACGAACCAGCATGATCGGACTATGGAAACAGTGTTTTCTGGGGGTAAACATTAGAGTTCCCATTGCAAAACATAACAATTTGCAATTTCTTTTTAAAACAATTGGTAGAGCCCAAAAAAACATTTTAGAATACTTCGGCGTTTTGTATTGATAATTACGGAGAAAAAAAACAGTAATTTTAATTACACACGTTATTTTTATGAGGAATAAATTGACTGTTGCAGTTTGCTTGTTTAGTGTTATATTTTGATCAAATTTGGCAAATGTATTTATTTCACACTAGTTTAATCAAGAAATCGTTAAATCTAAAGCTATATGAATTGGGAATAAATCTGACATATTTTTAGGACTTATTCAAGTGAAAAGACAATCAGATTCGGCAGGTTTGCTGAGTCCGGTTTTCTTTTTTTAAATTCCATCAT